ATTTCTAAAATATACAACGAAACAAACTAAAAAAAATTCTAAAAATTCTCCCCAAAATCTTTTTTAAAAATTTATCTCCCAAAACCAAACCAAACACAACACATTTGATTTTCAGATTATATATATATTTTTAATTCTATTTCAATTTTTTATATTAATTATTTACTATACTACAAATTTAAGAAGTAACTTAAATTTGAAAGACCCTAAACCAATTAAACTGCACCGAGCCGAATTGTTTGAATTAGTGTGATTTGATGTGACTTAATGGAAAATTCAATTTAAATATAACAGAACCGACATTATTAATTTGGTATAAAATTTCATCTAAATACTGACCATCTCAAACCGATTACATCCCAGAGTGTTGATGCCTTAATGATATAGGAAGCTTCTAGCTGAGAACATTACCAAAAATTGATTATTTTTCTAATCTACAAAACATTCAATAATATATACTATCTTCAATATTTCACACATGGCCAATTTCATTTAGCAGTTTCTCAGTACAATAATGCCAGCTCATTTCCAAATTCTAGTACTTTTGTTTTAGCTCTTTGAGTTCATTCAGGCTCTGGCACCAAAAATTATTGTCAGGTAAATAGGTCCTGAATATAAAATTGTGTAGGTGTTTGTAGTTCATTTCAAGAAAGAAAAAAACAAAAATAAAAATTATTAGAGTTCTCAAAAATTTTATTAAAAATTTTACCAAATGTCAGTGTGGGATCCACGTAAGACCTATATTATGTGAATCTCACACCCATGTGAGATATTAGATAAAAACTTTGATAAAATTTTTAAGATTCCTAATGTTACTCAAACAAAACAAAAAATATTACCACCATGGCCCATAATCTAAAAAGAGGACTTTACCATGGCCCATAATGTAAAAAAGAGGAGTTTTGCCTCCAGACTCGAGTATTAGATGATGTTGTGATATTAGTACATTTTATAAATTAAATGTAGAGATTTAATGGGTTCGGCCTTGGGTTCCCGGGCGAAAAAATAAATAAATAAAAATAAAAATAATGTATAGATTTTTACACCCACTTACAAAATCTATTTATCCATTCAATATTGGGTTGGACTTTGTAGTAACAAAACAAATTTGGATTTGTGTGTGGTTTTTGATATTTTAAAAATACTGAGGTGGCACATTTGCTGTTTAGACTGATTTAAGCTAAAGAGAAGTCAATCCTTAACAATAATTGCTAACAAGTTGCAACTTCAACTTTGCAATTGATTGAGGAAAAGTTTACTGTGTTTGATTTTAATTTTTTAAAATCAAGTTTTTTATTTTTATATTTTTAGTTAATATTTTTAAAATTTTAAGTAATTTTTTTTTTAGATATACCTTATTTAGATGTATTTAAAAAGTAAAATATTTATAAAAAATCAATAAATACATAAGAATACAAAAAAATATATGGCGAATTACACTAACAGTCCCTATAATTTGGGACTCATGTCACTTTGATCCTTAACTTTTTAATTGTGACACATTTGACCATGAATTTTGAATCTTGTTCAAAATAAGGACAATTGAAGACACTATTGTTCAATTTCAAGGGCAAATTTGTCAATTTGATAAAATATAAACTAATTTGACAAAAATAAATGTCAAAAAAATATTTTTGAATTTTTAAAAATTATTTATACCCACCAAAGATAAAATTATGTAAAATTGATAAATCTTTTTGATTTAATAGATTGGTTTAATAATGATATCAAAGTTGTCGCTATATTTGAGTTTTGGAAAAATAGAAACTAATTTAAAAAAAAAAAAACAAAAACAGCCATCCATTACATGATCATCATTCAAACACATAATAAAACTTAATTTGGTAAAAAAATATATAAATGTGTAAAATATTTATGAATTTTACATAATTTTATATTTGGTGGGTAGAAATAATTTTTAAAAATTCAAGAATATTTTTTTTTACATATTTTTGACAAATTAGTTTATGAAAAATGCTCTGTAGCTCAACTTCTTTCGGCTTGAGTGGCTCGAAACTTTCTCTCTTCTCTTTATCTGGTTCCTCTCCTCTCGTCTCTATCTCTATTCTTCGAAACAAAAAAAAGCATTCAAATACTCTCATTCAAACACTCTCATTCAACAAATATGGGATTGATTTTGTTTGATTCTGTCTGATTTGGGTTTCGATTTTGATTTGTGGCTATGACTGTGGGTTTGGTTTTAATTCTGAGTTTGAGGTGGAAGACAACTGTGATGACCGGGTATATTATTCATCTCGTTCCTCTTTGTTTAACCTTGGGTTTGCCTTTGTTAAAGTGTCGGGTTTAGTCAGGAGTCTTGTTAACAGTTTGGTTTTGTTATTTATGAAAGCTTATTTCAGAGTCCTTGCTTTTATTTATTTCTGTGTCAAGTTTCTCATGTTTCGGAAGATGCAACGTTGGATCCAGAGTGTCTTGTGTTAAGCAAAAAAAAATTTCCTGGCTGGAGAACAAAGCTGCACGTGCGGGAAACAAGGTGTCACGACCCAAACCCGCCCCTAAGGGTTTAGCATCGTAACTGACCAGTAATCCTTGGATTATCGAAAGCCTCTTAACATAATAATATATATAACGGGGCTGCAGAAGCAAATATACAAAGTTACATAATCCATAGAGCTGTGCAGACATATATGGAACAGAATATTTGAAACTTTTCATATACATGTTTGCATACATACATATGAGGCATTTAAACACAGTAGTCTTACATCATCCAAGCCACATATACAAGATTACTACGTGTTCAGGCCAGACATAAACATTTCAGAAATACAAAAGTCCCATAGACAATGAACCCGGGTAGGTCTCAAAATGGAACCTCCGCGGGAGGCGTGATAGCTGGCTGACACCAAAACTCACTAGGCGGCACCACAGGCTTGGTCACGTGCTTGCTCACCTACATAAATATAAATAATACAGTAAGCTAGAGCCCAGTGAATAATAAGTAGGTAAAGGGTTAAATGAATGATGTCCATCACAGATTCAGAAATCAGAGTTAATATCAGAAACAGATTCATATACATATTCAGATTTGTAAATAGTTATATGTGGTACACCCATTAGCAGACATATCAACTTGGTCCTAAGACCCACATGCATAGTCGGTACCGACGACCATAAAGGTCCACATCTTGCACGCAAGTAGCCATGGTATTGTTATCCCCAAGTGAGGGCCACGTGAATATAGGTCTCGGTATTGTTACCCCCGGGCAAGGGCCGCGTGAATATAAGTCACAGTATTGTTACCCCTGGGCGAGGGCCACGTGCATATTGGCCACGGTATTGTTACCCCCGGGCGAGGGCCACGTGAACTAAGGGTGCCACAAATACATTTCAGAAAATTGGACATTCACTCATAACTCATAAAATAGCATTTCAGAAAAACAAATCGTATCATATCAGTCAGAAAATACTTAAAGTTAAACATAACTTTACAGAGTTATTGCTCACAGTTGGCTTTGGGTGTAGACAAACAGAGCAAATTAATCAAATGGTTCGAGGCACACGACCTACATGAACCTACATACAAATTCACACTTGAATCACACACTCAAATTATGAGTAACTTGCTTTATTTGTTCTGGGTGTGTTTCTAGTCTTTAACCTTATTAAAGTGTCTTAAATATGGCCTAGGAATGCTTAGGATGGAAAGAGGATGCCACAATGCACTTGAAAACAGTTCTCAAATGTTACTGAAAACAGGGTCCACGCTCAAGCGTACATGCAAGATGTGAAGGCTCGCTCGAGCGTGACTTTCCCCGCTCGAGTAGATTGTAAACTTTGAAAAAGTACTGGTTGCATGTTTTTCATGCTCGACGGACGCTCTATCCTCGCTCAAGCGTGAGACTCAGGTCCACGCTCGAGCGTGAATCCCTTCGCTCGAGCGGACTGCAAAACATATGAACTTCTGAGTATATGCATTTCATGCTCAAGCGTGACTTACGTCGCTCGAGCGGAAGCACACGTACTCAGAGTGTTCGCTCGAGCGTGGATCAAATTTCTAGAATTTCCAGATTTGATCCACAAGTTCAAATTCAACCTCTAAGGTACCAAACTCAAATTTTCTTTGCCAAAACTTTGGAAAACTCATAGAGGCTCATAAAATAACATGTTTCAAGGATTAATTCGAGAAATCATGGCCTAAAGACTTGCCAATTGAACAAAATTCAACATGAAATTCAAGAATGTTTTATGAACATAACATGTATGAACTTTCTTGAAGCCCAACACTTCAAAACATGATCAAACTTGATGAATTGATGGAAAACATGGTAATTTCTCAAAATGTAGGTGAGATGAGCACATGCATGAAAAAAATCTTTGAAATCATGCTCAATTTGTAAAAAAATGCACATGCATGCATGGTATGGCCTAATTCTTCTCAATTCTAATGCAATTCCTCCATGAATTCACTTAATTCATCAATAATCTTGTAGAATCCAATATAATGACTCAATGAAGAGTTCAATTTCTTACCTAGGGGCTTGAATTCCCCAAGAGGTGAAGTTAAAACTCTTAAATCTTCTTCAAATGGCAACAATTTTAGCAATCCATTGATTTGAGTCCAAATTCCTCAAGTCTTGAACCAATTCTCCTCTCTCTCCCTCACTCTCACGTTTGTATCATCCAAGGAATGAATTGGGAGTGTTTTGGTGCTCAAAGAAGTCCACTAAGGCCTTAATTAGATTTGGACAAAAGTGTAATTAATTTAAGGCCAAATAAAATCTAATTTAATCGTTGCAAATCAACTTTTAATTAAACTAACCATATAATCCTATAAATCTTAATTAACATACAAATCAAGTCAATTTCTGAGTCGAATGTCGATAAAGCTTTCAATTCACAAACCGAAACCAAAACATGAACAGACCTTCCTACGCAAAACAGATATAACCACAGATAATGCAACACACACATGCCAATTAATTCAGAATTCCTCTTCAATTAATGATTACGCATAATTAAGTATGGATTAACGTTAATCAAGGATCGAGGTTGTTATAGTCTTCCCCTCTTAAAAGATTTTGGTCCTCCAAACTCGAATTACCTTCATTTCGGAGTAACATTAGGTCCAACGGAAACAAATTCGAATATCTCTTCATCATGTCTTCTTCCGTTTCCCAGGTTGCATAGGTTCCCCCATGATTCTGCCAATCTACCTTCACTAACGTGATTTCTTTGTTTCTTAGTCTTTTAATCCTGCAGTTCACAATTTGAATAGGCCTCTCCTCGTAAGTATAATCATCCTTTAGGAGTACATAGGTCGGCTCAATCACATGTAACGGATCCCTCAGATAATCCCGAAGCATAGAGACATGAAAGACATTATGCATATGCTCCATAACTGGTGGTAAGGCCACCCGATACGTTATTTTCTCTAGAACTTCATATGGCCCAACATATCTTGGCGCCAACTTACCCTTGACACCAAATCGAGTTTGCCCTTTCATTGAAGTTACTTTAATAAACACATGGTCCCCAACTTCGTATTCTCTATCTCTTCTTCGAACATCAGTTTGTCGGCTTTGTGCAGTTTTCAGTCTCTGCTAAATCAGCTTAACGTTTTCAACTCTTGGAAGGCAGACTCTCTCTGATCATTCCAATCAAATGAAACATTTTTCTGAGTTAACTGGGTCAATGGCATGTCGAGTTTCAAAAAGTCCTTCACAAATTATCTGTAGTAACCTGCAAGCCTCAGAAAACTTCTAACTTCTGATACATTGGTTGGTCTTGGCCAGTCAACAATGGCTTCAATTTTCTGTGGGTCCACTGATATACTATCTCGATTGATTACATGGCTCAAAAAGGCTACACTGTCCAGCCAGAACTCACACTTGGATAATTTTGCATATAATTTCCTTTCTCTCAGAATCTGTAACGCAATTCTCAGATGATTCTCATGTTCTTCCCTGACTTTAGAATAAATCAAAATGTCATCAATAAACACAATGATAAATTCATCAAGGTATTATTTGAAAACTTTATTCATTAGGTCCATAAAAGCTGCTGGTGCATTGGTTACCCCAAAAGGCATGACCAAGAATTCATAGTGTCCGTATCTAGTTCTGAATGCCGTTTTCTCCGCATCCTCAGCTTTTACTTTCAACTGGTGATACCCGGACCTAAGGTCAATCTTAGAAAACACTTGGGCTCACTGAAATTGATCGAACAAATCATCTAATTGGGACAAAGGGTATTTGTTATTGATAGTTACCTTGTTCAATTCTTAATTGTCTATGTATAACCTCAAGGATCCATCTTTTTTTTTGACAAATAGGACTGGAGCACCCCAAGGTGAGGTACTCGGACGGATGAATTTCTTGTCTATGAGTTTCTAAAGTTGGATTTTCAATTCTTTCAATTCAGAAATTGACATCCTATATGGAGTCTTGGAGATGGATTGTGTTTCAGGTATTACATCGATGGTAAATTCAATTTCCCTATCAACTAGATCCCCAGGTAGATCATTGGGAAACACATCAGGAAAGTCACAAACCACTGGAATGGTTTCCACACCGGTGCTATCTAAAGATTCAGTTAGTGCACAACACAAGTAGCCTCGACAACTTTTCCTTAACAATTTCTTAGCTTTCATAAACGAAATCAAATATGGTAGAGGAACTACCCCATTCCCAGTAAAACTAAATTCAGGCATATCCGGTGGTCTAAACACAAAAGATTTACTTGCACAATCAATAGTAGCACAGTATTTAGTCAACCAGTCCATACCCAAGATGCAATCAAAATGGTCGATATTCAAAGGCAACAAATCTACGTATAGAGTCATTCCACCAATCAAAACATCACATGCCAGATACACATATGCACATACCATAGAACCCCCAGATGGTGTAGATATAGACAATAAATAATTCATGGATTCTAAGGGTCTAGTTAGTTTCCGAGAAAAAGCATGCGATACAAATGAATGTGTGGAGCCAGAATCAATCAGCACATAGGCATTCTGAGCACAAATAGAAATTATGCTTGACACCACAGATTCGGTGTTCTGTACATCACCGGGCACAAGTGCGAACACCCTCCCTTGCCTCAATGTTTCATTGTTAGTGTCACCTCTAGCATTGGTCCTTGCATTTGATCTTGCTGTAGAAACAGACCCGGCTAAACTTATCATAGGACGGCTAACCTCATTGGGTCTCATCGGGCAATCCCTAACCATGTGGCTAGTCTTGCCACATCGAAAACACGTGCCTGATGTTCGATAACAAGCACCTTTGTGTTTTCTTCCACAATCGAGGTAGTTTGGAGTAGATCCGCTACTTTGACTAGAGCTGCTGGAAGACCCTGTATTTCGTTTCTTCGAAAATGACTGGCCCTTCTTAAAATCAAACCCGGTCCTTTTTCCTTTCTATTCGATCGTCGGAGTTGTAATCTATTTTTTAGCTGCTATTATGGCTTCGGCCATCAGTGCCCTGTCGAGCACCTCTACATAAGTAGGCAATTTCAGGATACCCATTCAGTCAAATACTTCCAGGTCTAGTCCTCCCTCCAACTTCTGCACTTTCTTGTAATTAGTGTCTACCATGTGGGAGCAAAACGAGCTAGTTTAGTAAACTTAGCTTCATATTCAGCCACAAACATTCTGCTTTGTTTGAGTTCTTGGAATTCAGTAACTTTTTGGTCCCTGAAGCATTGAGGAAAGTACTTGTTGTAGAATATCTCGTTGAATTGTGCCCATGTCATGTCCCTATCGTTATTTCGAACCAACAGCCACTATCTCCGAGCTTCATCTTTTAAGGTATAAGTAGCCAAAAAGACTTTCTGAGTTGCAGAGCATGGAAACACTTCAAATAGCTTTTCTATTTCCAATAACCAGGTTTCTGCCTTCAATGGCTCAATACCACCCAAGAAGGTCGGCGGCTTCATTTTCATAAATTTCTGAGTCAAATTGATGATGTCATTATTGTCCGGTTCAGCTAGTACTGGTGGAGGTAGAGGAGGTAAAGGTTGTTGTCTTTGTTGTTGTGTCATAGCTTCAGTCAATGCCACAAGCATTTGTTTCATTCGGCTCATGCGAGCCTCTGAAGATTCACTCACATCATTTCCCCTCACATTCTCCATGTTGCTATAGAGACACCAAATGATAATAAACATAGAAATAATCTCATTCATTTCTTTCAATTCATTTACTCAGATTTATATTCAGTTTTCATATCCATTGAGATTACCACACACTCACACATGCAGATGGAATGCCCCTAATCCTTACTAGGACATCCTAAGCTCATATGGACCCGTGTGTGCGATAGAACACGTGCTCTGATACCACTCTGCCACGACCCAAACCCACTCCTAAGGGTTTAGCATCGTAATCGGCCAGTAATCCTTGGATTACCGAAGGCCTCTGAACAGAATAATATATATAACAGGAGCTGCGGAAGCAAATATACAAAGTTACAAAGTCCATAGAACTGTGCAGACATATATGGAACAGAATATTTGAAACTTTTCATATACATGTTTGCATACATACATATGAGGCATTTAAACACAGTAGCCTTACATCATCCAAGCCACATATACAAGATTACTACGTGTTCAGGCCAGACATAAATATTTCAGAAATACGAAAGTCCCATAGACAATGAACTCAGGTAGGTCTCAAAATGGAACCTCCACGGGAGGCGTGATAGCTGGCTGACACCAAAACTCACTAGGCGGCACCTCAGGCCCGGTCATGTGTTTGCTCACCTACATACATATAAATAATACAGTAAGCTAAAGCCCAGTGAATAATAACTAGGTAAAGGGTAAAATGAATGATGTCCATCACAGATTCAGAAATCAGAGTTAATATCAGAAACAGATTCATATACATATTCAGATTTGTAAACAGTTATATGTGATACACCCATTACCGGACATATCAACTTGGTCCTAAGACCCACATGCATAGTCGATACCAACGACCATAAAGGTCCACATCTTGCGCGTAAGTAGCCATGGTATTGTTACCCCCAGGTGAGGGCCACATGAATATAGGCCTTGATATTGTTACCCCCGGGCAAGGGCCACGTGAATATAAGCCACAGTATTGTTACCCCTGGGCGAGGGCCACGTGCATATTGGCCACGATATTGTTACCTTCAGGCAAGGGCCACGTGAACTAAGGATGCCATAAATACATTTCAGAAAATTGGACATTCATTCATAACTCATAAAATAACATTTCAGAAAAACAGATCGTATCATATCAGTCAGAAAATACTTAAAGTTAAACATAACTTTACAGAGTTATTACTCACAGTTGGCTTTGGGTGCAGACAAACAGAGCAGATTAATCAAATGGTTTGAGGCACGCGGCCTACACGAACCTACATACAAATTCACACTTGAATCACACGCTCAAATTATGCGTAACTTGCTTTATTTGTTATGGGTTTGTTTCTAGTCTTTAACCTCATTATAGTGTCTTAAATATAGCCTAGGAATGCCTAGGATGGAAAGAGGATGCCACAATGCACTTGAAAACAGTTCTCAAATGTTACTGAAAACAGGGTCCACACTCGAGCGTACATGCAAGATGTGAAGGCTCGCTCGAGCGTGACTTTCCCCGCTCGAGGAGACAGTAAACTTTGAAAAAGTACTGGTTGCATGTTTTTCACGCTCGACGGATGCTCTATCCCCGCTCGAGCGTGAATCCCTTCGCTCGAGCGAACTGCAAAGTTCATATCCCTTCGCTCGAGCGAACTGCAAAGCATATGAACTTCTGGGTATATGCATTTCACGCTCGAGTGTGACTTACGTCGCTTGAGCGAAAGCGCACGTACTCAGAATGTCCGCTCGAGCATGAAGTCCCCCGCTCGAGCGTGGATCAAATTTCTGGAATTTCCAGATTTAATCCACAAGTTCAAATTCAACCTCTAAGGTACCAAACTCAAATTTTCTTTGCCAAAACTTTGGAAAACTCATAGAGACTCATAAAATAACATGTTTCAAGGATTAGTTCGAAAAATCATGGCCTAAAGACTTGCCAATTGAACAAAATTCAACATGAAATTCAAGAATGTTTTATGAACATAACATGCATGAACTTTCTTGAAGCCCAACACTTCAAAACATGATCAAACTTGATGAATTGATAGAAAACATGGTAATTTCTCAAAATGTAGGTGAGATGAGCACATGCATGAAAGAAATTCTTGAAATCATGCTCATTTGTGGGAAAATGCACATGCATGCATGGTTATGGCCTAATTCTTCTCAAATTCTAATGCAATTCCTCCATGAATTCACTTTAATTCATTAATAATCTCTGTAGAATCCAACATAATGACTCAATTAAGAGTTCAATTTCTTACATAGGGGCTTGAATTCCCAAGAGGTGAAGTTAAAACCTCTTAAATCTTTTTCAAATGCAAACAATTTTTAGCGAATCCAGTTGATTTGGAGTCCAAATTCCTCAAAGTCTTGAACCAATTCTCCCCTC